CCCCTAGTCTCATAGCCATTTCCTCGGCTTCCGACTTCTCTAACCCTAGCTCGAATTGCCCTTCAGAAGGTACTCTAGCTCATATTAACATCCCTATCCGAGCTAAAACCCTAAGGTCAGTACTTCCTCTTCGTGATGGAACCGATGGGGATATTCCTTGGGATACCCTAACCTAGATCGTGGATAACAGCTCACTCGACCTAGGTTATGACCCTCCCCAAGGCATCCCATCCTTCATCTGAGCTACGTGCTCGACAAGCTAACATAACGGTAGATGCCGACCATTCTACCAACCCAGTTATAGAGCGAGCTTATGATGTTGTAGTATTAATCCGACCTAATCCTTTCTTTTACGCCGAGGAACCTCAAATAAAGGCTTTCATGCAGTGGTGCGAGCTTCCACCCGATTGGGTCTTCCAAGCCCCTTCCTTAGGTAGCTCGTACAACCATCCCCCTGTTGGGTTCGTTAGTACCGTACGGGCTGTACGCAGCGGAATTTAAAATTTTTAAAGTAAGTATTTATCGTATAAATACAACACCCGTACATACTAATTGCGAATTAACAGATCGTCATCTTTAAAATATGCATCATATACAAATTTTGATTTGTTATAATAAAGTAAATATTAATACGAAATATTTACCGAGTGTCTTGAACTCCTTCAACAAAGATGTGGATTGTGGGAATCGGTTCCCGGTTGTAACTTCAACAGCTTGAGGTTACTCGCTTTAGGAATCCAAGTGTCTTCCCTCTAATCGTATCCACCCTATGAAGCCCGGTTCCGACGACCTTTCTTCGCTAGTAGAAATGTCTCGGTTTTCTTGTATAGGAATATATATATAGATATAATTTGGGAATTATCAAGAACACTTTCTTGAAATATATGAAGAACACTTTCTTCTCTCTTTTATTTTCTCACAAAATCACTTCACTTCTTTGCAAACATTTTGCATCTATTTATACTAAACATTTTAGCATAAAATAATCAATATTTAGTAATATTTAAATAAAATCAAATTTTATTTAAATAGTATTTACTAACTATTGACTTTGAAAATAATAAGATATGTTAAGTAGTTCAAACAACCATTAACAACCATTTTATTATAATCATATTTTTTATTTTAATCCTTAAATCATATTTAAAGATATAAATAATAATTGGATAATAAATCTTGAGAATCTTTCTCAAGACTTTATTATTATATCATTTTCCCAATCTTATAATAATCATATTATTATTATTTTGGATTTGAAATTTAAAATCCTATTTTAAAATTCAACTTTATTAATTTAGTAATTACTTTAATTACTAAAGTAATATCCAAAATGTAATTAATCAATCTTATTGATTAATATATTCCTTTAATTGACATCTAATCAAATTAGATATTTATCAATTAATTCTAACCATTAGAAATACAATCTTTACCTTTGTTCATAATTAGTGTGACCTTTTAGGTTCACTATTAATACTAGTAGTGGGTTTACAACACTTTGTAATTTGAGTTAAATCTTATTAACTCTTATTCAAGAATTAACCCCTTAATTCATGAACCCACATATCATGGTAACACCTAGCAAGTATCATGAATCTAGTATTAAGTGAATAGCGAGTAAACCTATTCCGATTACAACTCCATACATGTAAAATCCTTTCGACATCTAATTTCCCGATTAAGTCTTGGGTATGATTTTGTCGAAACCCAAATTGACTTAATAACTATGATTCTATTTCATGTTTATTAACCCGGTTATGAATCACTATTCATCTCTGCCTTGGCCAAGGACTTTGGATTAATAACTATGAAACACATAGGAAATTCACTTATCTTCATAAGTGTCGAATCCTTTATTGGCCACTAACAAACTTCCATACATATTAACATAATACCCAACTTATCCCTTTAAACGATAGTGCTAGCTACCAAAAGGATAAATCAAAGTAGAATGTAATATGCACAAAGTTACCATTGTGCCTCAAGTCTTAGGATTAGTCATGTACTATTGTAACATGAAAATTCTTATTCGACTGAATAAATTCTTCATTAAGAATTTTCATACGGTCATGTTCAGTGAACTTGTTCTCTAACAAGCACCCACATAAATGTACTTACGTCTTACGCTAATGTTGATGGAATGCAACATTCTTGTCCAACAAGCATACAAACTATGTGCAAGTCTTTTATGGATTATTCGATATCCCATCTCGAAACATCCATCGACTTGGAACTGTATTTAAGATCACGGCTTTCAAGGTATGTTCCATGATCACCATCTCTATGCGCAACCATACCTTATAACCATAAGTAATCTAGGGATTTTATCTTAAGTGCAATTATAAGATAAATGCTTTCTCTTAAGATAAAGAAATGCCTTATTCATAATATAATTCCAATAGACTGTATTTACAAGTAGAATACGTCCAATTAGATTGGAACGCCGGGTACCCTACTCTAACACCCCCTCCAAGTTTCTATACCTTCTTCATTGACCAGGTAGTCAGTGGTCTACGTTTTCCCGTTCGCTCTAATTTGCTCACTTTAACTGAGCTATTCTAGTTCCCATCAATCAGCTTGCCCCTAACACTATACTTATATTAATAGGTTACACCATTCTTTGCCACTATCGTTTTCATAAATTAGATACTGAGTTCTTCTTCGACTGTTTTGGTCTTAAGGAACAACGCGAGTCGTTTTAACCCAGTGGTCGCGACCGAGCTGATTACCTTAGGGAACTTTCTACCAAAATTAGCAATTGGAAATCCCTATTCTTTTTTCTTATGCCCTCTGTAGGTACCTTTAATTTTAGCTCGAAATGGCTTACTTAAGCTCCTTCTAAAAAGCAGAAACCAAGAAAAATAGCTCGTCTTGACGACCTTGTGACTGAGTGGAACAAAGTCCCTTATCACAATAGGGAAACTCACCTCTCCCACCGAGTTTCGTTCCCTTTATAGGGTGACCTATAAACAGGTCGCTCCTTTTGATATAGGTATAACTACTAACAATCCCAATCTTATATTTATACAACATTCACACTCCATAGCTGAGCTATATAACTTATTTCCCTAATATTATTTATTTTTGTCCAAAGAATTGTTGTCCGGTGCTATTTCCACGAAGAAAAATGAGCCAAAGAAGAAGAAGATTCCCCCGAGCTCCTCTGGTGTGAGTGGTTCACACCTTCCTACTTCTTCCCTCACCAAGTCGAGCAACGACTTGATAAAGAACATTATACCGAGCACCTATAAGAGAAAAGCACCCGAAGGGGATGACTCTTCGGCTCAGAAGACTGCCTCTCCTGAGCCGACCTACAATACAATTTAGCAACCTCCTGCTTTTACCAATCATAAAGACTCCTCCGTCCAATCCTCTTATATCCATTTTCCCCGGCAAT